CCCCAACTTTTCAAGAGTATGATAAGCTACTTATATTGCTGAAAATAATGAAGGCGCAGCTTTGCTCATCAGTCTATCTGGTTTCTCTCATTTCCTGCTTCTCAAAAGCAAGGTAACTACAAGATGAGATGCTGGTTTGTTCCTGCTTCTGCTCGGTACCTCTTCAAACCACAAGATTGTCTCTGAAAGTTTTTTTTTTTAAGATAAACATCTCTCTTTTCCTGACAACACATAATGTTCCATCAATACTTGTCACTAAAAACAAAAACAAAAAAATAGAACAAGTCTCCATTCAGTCTTCTTCATGAGATAATTATGGTGGAGATGAGTGGAAGATCTCCCCTTATAGACCATTCAGAGCTTCTGGCAGAAAAAGTGACAGGAATGCAATAAATAAATAACAAGCCTTGATGGCTAAATTGACTTCTTTGATCAAAGAAAAGACAGTATTTACGTTTATTGCTGACTGGAAACGCCTTATGGACTTTTTGCATAAAACAGAAAAAAGGAACTTATGATTTATGGTTTTGATGATTAGGATAGATTATAGAAAGAAGAGAGTTATGTTGTAACCATAGAATAAGAGGTAAATTTATAAATGCACTTATAACTGCTGTAAAGATCAGAAGCCACTTCTTTGTATCTTTTTTCCTTTTCTATTTTTCTTTTCCTTTTTTTCCCTTTCTTGCGCTTTTTAGCTTTCTCTGATTTCTTTTTCTTTTCTGTTTCTTACTTTATATTAGTTTGTATTACTTTTTTATCTTCGTTTTTAAACATCTTTAATAAAATTTTATATAAAAAATAAATAAATAAGCCTTCTTAGATAAGGAGACTTTAATCCAGCCCCATAAAGAATTGCATTTATTCATTCCATGTGGAAGGACAGCAGAACGAGGAGGGGACAATCCAGTGCTCTATTGAGGTGCTGAGGTCCAAGCACTATCCACGGCAGATATTTTATTCTGTCTATAATAAGTGCTATTGTGTATCATGTTCTAATCTATAATACATACATTATATATTTATTTATTGAACTTATATAGCCGCCCATCTCACTTGAATGATATATGACATACATGTTACATATAATCATTTATATTATATATTAATACTCTATGCCATACGCTTACATTATGTTTTATA